CGGTAGAGTGCTGTGGTATCACAGCTCATAGCAACCTCAAATTCTTTGGCTTAAGCCAGTGAGTGGTTCTCAACCTTCATAATGCCGTAGCCCTTTAATACAGTTCCTGTGGATTATGACCCACAGGATAAGAACCACTGGCTTAAGCGATTCTCTTGCCTAAGCCTTCCACGTAGCTGGTACTATAGGCACCGCCACGACGCCTGGCTATTTTTTTGTTGAGGGAGTCATTGTTTAGCAGGTTGGGGCCAGATTTAAACCCACCAGCTCTGGTGTAAGTGGCTGGTGCCCTAATTGCTGAGCTATGGGCACCAAGCCTCATACCATAATCACTATTTTGACTGGTCAAGAATGAGAGAATAAAGAATAGTGTAGATAGACTTGGGTGTGGTGGCTGAAGCCTATAATCCTAGCACTCAGTGAGACTAAGGAGGGTGGATTGCTTGAGCTCAGAAGTTTGAGACCAGCCTGAGCAAGATCGAGGGCCCTCTCCCTGCTAAAAATAGAAAAACTATCTGTCATTGTAAGAAACACTTATAGTCCCAGCTACTCTGGAGGTGGAGGCAAGAGGATAGCTTGACCCCAAGAGTATGAAGTTGCTGTGAGCTATGACACCATAGCACCCTACTGAGAGTGGACAAAATGAGATTCTGTTTAAAAAAAAAAGAATAATGGGATTGTGGCTTGGTGCCCATAGCACAGTGGTTATAGTGCCAGCCACATACACCAAGGCTGGCGAGTTTGAACCCGGCCCGGGCCAGTTAAACAATGACAATTGCAATAAAAAATAGCTGGGTGTTGTGGCGGGCCCCTGTAGTCCCAGGTATTTGAGAGGCTAAGGCAAGAGAATAGCTTAAGCCCAAGAGTTTGAGGTTGCTGTGAGCTATGACGCCATGGCACTCTGAGGGCGACATAATGAGACTCTGTCTCAAAAAAAAAAAAAGAAAAAAGAATAAAGGGGTTTGGGGAGGTTAGAGCTTTGGGTTGACATCTGAGGAAAAATGATTTGAAACAATTCTGAGTGCATTTTAGATTATAGGGCAGATTCAATGTATTGCCAACAGTATTATGAAGAAAAATAAAGACAAGAGTATAATCACAGGCTATTCCTAGTGGAAAAACATTTAACATTTCCCAGTCACTTGAACAAGAGTTTAGTAATACATTTTTGAAAATGACTCCTATATTTGTAGTCTTGATTTGCCTACTTAACCTCTCCTTCCCGATGTCTAGTATAAATTTCAAAATTCATATATCTAAAACAGACCTCCTGATTCCACTCCTGCCAGCTCCTATATATACTCCTCCCTGATGTCTTCCTTATCTAATTTAATATTACTTTTTTTTTTTTTTGAGACGGAGCCTCAAGCTATCCCCCTGGGTAGAGTGCCATGGCATCACGCTCACAGCAACCTCCAACTCCTGGGCTCAA